ATGATGACATGCTAAGAGAAAATGTAGTCACATGGGTTACACTAGTGGAAATTCAGGATTTTTTAGAATATTGCCTTGTAGAATTAAGACCTTAAAACTTGTATACTATTAAAATATGGATTATTAGCTAAGATTTTATGCCATTCTAATTGGTATAACATAAACAAAAAATAGTTTAATAAAATTTTGAATGTAAGACACTAAAACCTTGTGTCATGAGCAGTAAAGGATACCCGTTGCAAAAGGTTTAATACTTTCTTTCTTGTTTAAGCTAACCCGAACATTGTAAGATTAAAACTAGTCCTATTCTAAAGACATGCTCAAAATTATCCTCATTACTACAACACTTTGAATCAGCTCTACAGTACAGAAGTGAATAGTGCACCAATGGCTTCCACTTCAAATATATCCTAGAACTCTTGGGTGAAAGTGATGATTTCTAGTGCAGGTAACATTTTTTATGAACATAAGTTATGTGCCATGAGACTACTTAGTAATTGAATTTGGAATTTTAGAAAATTATATTTTGATTATAATTTCCCATTAAGGAAATAATCAATCTTGAATGTTATAATTTAATTAAAGAAGAACTTGTCATATCCTTTAGTTGTAATTATAAAATGTAGTGTCAGACCACATTTGTTAGAGAAGATCTTAAAAAGATGTATGCAATGAAAAAGTTTCAGATTTACTTGTTTGTGAGAAGTAGGTCAAATAAGTATAAATTTTTAACAACAGTATATGGTGATAAATAATTTTTGTTATTGGCATAAAGATTTTGTGAAATAGAATTTTTTGGGGCATTTTTAATGAATGTAACCTTTATTATATATTTTTATTCACTTGCTTCTTGTGGTGTATTTTACATGCTTAACGTTTACAATTACATCCTCATTCAATTGATGTAGTTTGGTGAAAGAGGTTGCTGATGCCAAAACAGTGGTCTTGCTTAAGTGTTGGTTGGTGTAATCCAATGATGAGCCATTTCCAGAATGTGATGTTGGTCCCAGTTTATAATATCTTTTGTAATTATGGTCTGCTAAATGCTGATTTTTCTGGATATGTTGGTGTAGTTGCATCTTGATGTTTTTCTGTTTTTGTTCTGTGGTTTGACCTGTTTTAAAATGCACATCTACAAGAATATGGTATTTTGTAGATGATTTCTTTTTGTTTTTATTTGTTGATAGGTTGATTCATTCTCATTAGTGTGTTTTGGAGGTTTTATCAAGATTTGAAATGAATCTTTATGTTGAACTTGTGACATAACCTCTTGAGTTTCTTTCCTAACTTAGGGGTCTATGATAAAATAATATAGAGGTTGCAGTCCCAAAGCCTCTTTTAGATCCTAGAAATTTGCTATTTTAGTAGCTCAAGTCCTAGGATGCTATCTGGGATTCTTAATCTGTTGTTTAATTACCTTCTATTTTGTATTTATCAAAAATCATTAAATTAACTGTTTCTTATCTACGTTAAATGATTAAAAAGTAGTGAGGACACTGGATATTGTGTAGAATTTTAAACATTTGCATGAATAGATTTGTCATTGAAATTATCTTACTTTATGAGTGTTTGAATTGCATCCTATTTGTATGTGCATCTGACTGCATCACCATATTCCAGTAAGAAAGGTTCTTCAATATCCAGAGTGTAAGCAATATAAACTTGAGCACAGACAGCTTTGTTTGGTTTAATGAAGATTAATCAAGAAACTACATTGGTTTAACATTTTCTTACAGTTTCATTAAGTATCACTATTGTAGAAAGAAAACAATTAAGGGATAACACTTACATGCTTTTTCCAGAATGGGTTAATATATTCCCTAAAATACTGGAATCCTTATTTTATAAACCCCTAGATTTGTGACCCCAAGCTGGGAACTACAGACAAAGCTCATCATTTTGAAAATCAGGATAATTAAAGTATTCCTGTACATCAAACTACACTATCCCTACACTGAACAGCTTTGACATCAGTAACCTATGAACAATTTCTCTCACCAAACAACACAGAATAGATGATGTTATCACACAATATCAGATATGCATACTTACATAGAGAAACAAGTACAAAGGAAGGAACTCTGTCACAGGACTGCACTAACCACCAAAGAAACAATTCACAACTTTGACCTCAGTATAGAAGTAGAAACATCACCCCATTTTACAAATGGACAGGTGCAGTCCATTAAAGCCAAATACTGCAACTTGATGAGTTTTTATGTTTTGAACAGTTTCTTTATTATTATTTCTTGTCTTCATGTTTTTATATTTTTGACCTGGCATGGCCAGGTGGTTATGGCACTTGATTCGCAATCTGTGGATTCTTGGTTCGAATCCCTATCCTGCCAAATGTACATGCCCTTTTAGCCATGGGGCATTATAATGTGATGGTCAATCACATTATTCATTGGTAAAAGAGTAGCCCAAGGGTTGGCAGTGGGTTGTGATGGCTAGCTGCCTTCCCTCTAGTCTTTCACTGCTCAGTTAGGGATGGCTAGTGCAGATAACCCTCGTGGAGATTTGTGCAAAATTCAAAACAAACCCTGTTTTTTTAACTACTCCCTTTATAAATGTCATGTATGATATGCTAAATAATCACCAGATACATATGATGAAGAAAGGATATTCTTTTCGAAGCTATTAAGCTTGAGAGAGGGGTCTTTTTAACTTATATAATTAGAATGAATAAAATCACTTAAGGTTTATTATGATATTCTATATTCCTTATGTCTTTGAAAATATTTTTACTTTTCTCAAAAGAAAGAAAAAATATTTGAAATGAAATTGCATACATAGGTCTTCATCCAAATGAAGACTTAATAAAAATAACTTTGAATAATCAATTCCTAAAAGTACATCTTAAAGACTAGGTTTTGCATTGTTGAAAAATAAATGTTACAGTGTTGATCATTTTGATTCTTGAAAATAATTAAGTTAACCTTCTACATCATATATAACAGATATTTAGTCAGTTTAACTGACTGACTTATATTTCATCATTCCAAGGTACCTATATTTGAAATGGCTTCAAGTTACAGAAGCTTCACTTGTAGCCATGATGACAGCAACAGTTGGATTCACCATGATATATTTTTCATGGGATTGTCAAGTGTTAGGAAGTGATCCAGTTGAGTATGCACTTCAGGTAAATCTCAGGGAATTGTTCTATTTACTCAACAATTTTCAGCTTTATTACCTAATAACTAGAGCTGCAAACAGAAAAGTAAGAGTTTATTTTATTATTATAGATTATTTTATACTTAATTAAACATTGTCTAAGTTGATCATCCTTATTGCTCTTGTTAGCTAACTTGAAATTCATCCCAACCATATTCCACTTTCCTAATGAAAACTCTTGACCCTACAGATACTGATCAAATCAATAGATTATTAGCAAAGCAATAGGCTTAATGATAGAACTTCCAGTATTTTATGTAACACAATTCACAGTACTGTCTGTTGCATTAACCCTTTTGAAAAGGGTCATGGGTGAAAGGCCATGCCATCTCGTTTCTTGATTTGCATTCAAAATTTTATTGAACTACTATTTCGTGAACTTGTGTCAATAAGTTTAGTATTAAACTGTATATTATATTTAAAGCTTTAGTACTATACATTACTCAATTTCTTAATTTAAAAGTAAATATTAAAAAACACAGATAAACATCAATTTTTGTATGTCACGTGGTAAGTTGAATGAAGCACTGGTTCAAATTAGATGTTTGTGAAGTCAAAATATTAAGTCTATAGTTTCGTATGATTTAGAAACTCAAATTACAGATATTGACAAGCTAGAATATAAAATAAGAAGGTCTTATCTTTTCTATTTGCTAAGATATTGCTCATGTAATAAATCAAACACAGTGGCACCCAGCTCACTGCTTTCCATTTTTGGAAATGCTCCCGTATATACACTTACTTCAATATTTTACATGTGAATGACCAATCGAAAGCTCAGAATGTCCCCCTTGTGGCTTTCCCAACAGTTTTAATGGGCTTGGATGCCATTTCTTTCTTTTGAACGGATATTTCAAGGAGGTAGGGTGTGTCTTTAGTCTACTCAAAATTTAATATTTTTTTAGAGTAAAATACATTTTAGTTTCTGAGTTTGATAAATAATAGTGGAATTCTATGGTATTGATGTAGTAATTTATGATTTTTAGTTATTCAAATATATATATATAAAACCTAAAAATATTATTTTGTTTCATATCCTCCACATGCAAAATT